CAAAAAAAAAAAAAAAATCAAAATTAGCCCGGGAAGTCGAGAACGTAGGCAAGCAAGAAAAGATATGGCCAATCGAGAGTTGAAAGAAAGAGTGGAAGGGTTGGAAGGCCAATTCAGAGCCATAAGTGAGAGCATGGAGGGTCGGTTTGGTTCGCTCGATGAAGGACAGACCACCACCAATGCTACCGTGGCTCGTCTCGAGCAGTGCCTGGAGGAGGTATTGCGCGGGTTCCAGCGACAGCAAGAGCAACCACGGTTGAACGCACGCGAGCGTCTAAGACAACAGGAGCAGCAGCGAGCCGAGCACCACCCCGACGAGGAGGAAGAGTACGAGCAGCGGTCGCAGGCGTCCAACGTTCATGAGCGACCACGCGTCGAGAAGCCGAGGCTCGTGCTCTTAACGTTCACGGGAACCAATCCAGATGCTTGGCTGAACTGGGCAGTGCAATTCTTCGACTTAAATGAGATGCCGCAACGTGACTGGGTTCGTTATGCCGCGTACTATTTAGATGGTGAGGCCAACGTGTGGTGGCAGTGGCTCACGCGCGTGTATCACGGGCGGCAACAACCAATCCGTTGGGAAGATTTTGAACGAGAGCTCCTTACGCGTTTTGGAAACTCGGACTATCATAACCACGACAAGGCGCTAACTCGGATCCGACAGACGGGGAGTGTACGTGACTACCAAAAAGAGTTCGAGAGATTGGCGTGCCGGGTTCGGGAGTGGCCGGAGAGCGCGCTTGTTGGCGCATTTGTTGGAGGGCTTAGGTATGATCTCGCGGCTGAAGTGCGATTGGAGAGGCCGGAGACCATGCATAAGGCCATGGAAGTTGCTAGGAGACGGGAGGATCACTTGGCCGCGACTCGAAGGGGACGGGCGAATTTTCGTGTCCCGGAGCAGCGGCGTGTGCCGGCGACCGTGGGCGCACCTAGTGCGAACGCGAGGCCGCTGGGCACCTTTAGGCCACCGGCAACCGAGGTGAAGAGGTTGACGGAGGAGGAGATGGCGCGGAGACGTGAGAAGGGGTTGTGTTTCCGGTGCGAAGAAAAGTACTCGCTGGGACATCGGTGCAAGCAGAATTACTTGATCGAGTTTGTGGACTCGGATGACGAAGATCCGGTGATCGAAGAAGAAAGAGAGGTCGAGGTGCTCAATGACGAGGCCGAGATCTCAGTCCATACGATGGCGGGCACTAAAGGCCCGAGGACTAGGAAGTTACCGGCGTGGTTGTAGGATCGGCGGGTTACGGTACTCGTGGATAATGGGTCGTCGCACAATTTCATTAATGCGACTCTCTCGCACAAACTCAAGTTGCCCACGACCATGATTGAGCCGTTCGAGGTTAAGGTGGCGAATGGCGAGCGCTTGCAGTGCTCGGAGATGTACTCGGGCGTGCCGATCAAGTTTCAAGGAGTGACGGTGAAGGCGGATTTGTTTGTCTTACCTTTGGTGGGACCGGATGTGGTGCTTGGGGTGCAGTGGCTCGAGGAACTAGGAGATGTGACGACTAATTACCGGAAAGGTGTGATGAAGTTCGAGGCCGGTGATCAGCTCGTTACCTTGAAGGCTAGTGAAGGAGCAACCAAGGAGGTTGGTCTAAAAAACATCGAGAAGGTGTGGCGAGGTGGTGGACAGTTGTACGCTGTCGTGGTCGAGCCAACAGACAAGGACGCGGAGGTGGTCGAAGAGAAGCAGCGCGAGGTGCGTGACTTGCTCGAGGAGTTCGACCAGGTCCTCGACGAGCCCAAGGGACTGCCACCACACCGAGAGTTCGACCACCGTATACCTTTGGTCGAGGAAGGTCGAGCAGTGCACGTGCATCCGTATCGATACGGACACTTCCAAAAGACGGAGATCGAGCGGCAGGTGGGAGAGATGCTCGAGTCCGGGCTCATCCAGCATAGCTCGAGCCCGTTCTCGTCACCGGTGTTGCTCGCAAAGAAGAAGGACGGAACTTGGCGGTTCTGCACGGACTACCGCGCTCTCAATGAGGCTACTGTGAAGGATCGTTTTCCCATTCTGAGCGTCGACGACATGCTGGACGAGTTGTGTGGCGCGCGTTACTTCTCCAAGCTCGACCTACGCGCGGGCTACCATCAGATCAGGTTGGCCAAGGAGGACGTGCCCAAGACGGCTTTT